ACGGAGAGAGAGAGAGAGAGAGAGAGAGAGAGAGAGAGAGAGAGAGAGAGAGAGAGAGAGAGAGAGAGAGAGAGGGAGAGACAAAAAGACAAAGACAGAGAAACAGCGTGAAAGACAAAGAGGCCGAGAAAGACAGAGAGACAAAGAGACCAAGACAGCCAGAGAGACTGACATACAGAGACAGAGAGAGTCTGTGAAAAACATTCAAACATTTACAATTTAGAGCTGCTTGTTTTTTCCTCCTCGCCCAGGCGACACGCCCATGCCCCAGCCCCCCATGGGCGGCCCCAGTCCGGGCGGAATGGTCCCACCTTCCCTCGAGTCAACGAACCAGCCCCTCCCCGCGTCATCTGAGACCACCGATGAGATGCCTCAGCCAGACTCCACGGAAGACACTGAGATCCCAGGTACACGTAGTTCACTCTTTGTCTTCTACCTAGTCGTCCTGTCTACTACTTCGGTTTATGTTTTTAACACATCCACCCCCCCATCCACAAATCGTCTCTGTCTGTCTGTCTGTCTGTCTGTCTGTCTGTCTGTCTGTCTGTCTGTCTGTCTCTCTCTCTCTCTCTCTCTCTCTCTCCCGCAATATTTTTATAATGAATAATATACCTCTGGAAACCGTAAGAAAGGAAGACCAAAGATGACATGGAAACGAGCGGTACAAGCGGAAATGGAAAAGGCGGGGACATCATGGAAACAGCTAGAAAAGGATGCACAAGACAGGCTTAGCTGGAGAAATGTTGTTGATGGCCTATGCTCCACTGGGAGTTTAAAAAGTCAAGAGATAGAGAATGTGCCTCTTCCCCCCACACACTTTTGTCTCCTTCCCTCTCGATCATCGGTCTCAACTACTGTTTGGTTCTTCCACCATTAAACATCTTGACGTACTGTATCTGTTCCTCTATACTTGGAGTTCCGTCCTTTACCAGCATGAAAAAGAAAACAACATTTACATGTCTCAAGTTTGTGAACGCACGAACTAATGTGCCTTTGTACCGAAACAACAGCAGCTGAAGAAGCACATGTGGTTATATCACACACACACACACACACACACACACACACACACACACAGACACACACACACACACACGCATACAAACACACACATATACACACACATAATATACACACGCACACACATACATACACAAACGCGCGTGCACACACCGTGACTAACACACATTCACGCACGCGCACACACACACACACACACATACGCATACACATACACATGTATGCATGTAAGTTATGTATTGTATACTGTGGATTCTGCTTTAATGGAAATCTGCGAGACTGCCTGACTTTCTTTGGTTCAGTGGGTTTTCAGTTGAGGGGTTGCTCAAAACAAAAACAGAGACAAAAAAATAGGGGATTATATTTGCATTTTTTCCGGTTTGCCGGTTGTTGTTGTTTTTTTTCGAATTAAACGTGTTCGGTTTAAGCAGACTAAACTCTACAGTATACATTATATAATTTTCCCATTATCACTTTACCAACTCACCCCCCGGGGCAGTGCCACTGAATAAAGTGTCTTAGGCCTTTCCCAAACGGGGGACATTTCTCGTTCTAAAGCGCAGTACTATTGTAAATGGGCTGATCCAACAATCTTACAATGTCATGCTCATAACTGGGCCTGAACTAAAACAAAGAACCACTGCTTTTTCTTTCCTAATCCTTACTATTGTCATTTTCCTCTACTTCATTCGTATGTTTGAGTTTGTCACACTCTTGTGACCCGCTATTTCCGGGGTGCCTTGATAGTCAAAGCAGACTTTGTGCTGTTGAAGTTAGAGCAGAGAGGTAATCAGAATAAGTCTGATTCCCTGTAAGGACTTCTCTGTTGACATCCGCCCATTGGCGCTCAAATGACCTTATGCAGTTGCGAAAAACCTCTAATAAAACAAGCAAAAACTTTTCTAACTGCCATTGTTGATCTTGCTAACAGAAGGGACACTGAAACGATAGCTTAACAGAGCCTGTTTTTGGTAACGCTTCATGAAAGACACATCTTTGTTTATTCAAACTTTTTATTACAACTTTACTGCATCAACAGAAAGTCTATTAAATATTATTGAAACAGCACACAGACGCGGTTTGCGTCTAAATCCATTGCTTACTATAAAATGAAAGAATGGAATTGATTGAACAAAGCCTTTACATAACTCCACAGCTTTACCACCCACCGAAAAGCCAGAAAATCCCAAATTCCACCCCACCGAATCTAAAGTGAAATCGAAGCCAACTGATGCCCCTCACGCCGCGGCTCACTCTGAAGGGCCGGTAAGTTGTTTATTTAGAGAGAAGGTTAGATGATACGCCATACTGTAAATGTCGTTCACAGCTATAATTTATAGCAAAGATGGTTATTTATAATCGCTACGATTGTTCACCAAGTGAAAATGACGATGATCAGTTCTCAAATTAAACAAAAATAATTGAGTGCTCCCCC